GTCTGCTCGGTCGGCAGAGGCAGCAAAGTGGGGGATAAGAGGGAGCTGCCTGCAGTTGGGGAAGAGAARTACTTACCTTSGGGAGCTAGCGATGCGGGATRRACGGATAGCCGAGCTACGTTGCCGAGTTGTGGTATACCTGGCCAAGTCCCAGTGGTAGAGTCATTCGATTTTGTTCGGCCAAACAGGGAAGCCAGCCACGGAGTCAGGGTGCTTATCTTACGCTACTTGCAAGCTGGGTACGAGCGGAAGACCCGTTCGAGGTTATTCAGCCTATCGGTGGAGGTAGCATGAGACAATTGAGAAGTGGGGGCTTGCCTATTGGTTGGGCGTTGCGGCTGCAGAGACTATTGTGCCAATGATGGTTGATTGTTGAAGAGTTGTTGGGGATAAAGACTCACCTATTGGTTGGTGAGTCGTTCACCAGGGCGACCGAGGCGACAGGGGGGGCCAGCCGCAAGTGTGCGGACCTGGCTATTGGCCAGCACACTACTCACCTCATCGTCTGCGGGGCTTGCTGGCCTGTGTGGTAACCGAGTTAATGTGATCACGGGACACGAGGTAGAGATCGGAGGTAAGCCGCTGGTTGGCTCATTGTGCACTAATCATACGGAGGAGCGACGAGCGAGCAGAGGGAGGAGCCCCATGTGTTATGGTCAGCGTACGGCTTAGCCAGCGGAGCTAAGTAGCTGGAGTAAAGTTGGCCACGAGGTTATGGACTTACCTGTTGGCTGGCGCCCAACCCATATTAATTGGGTGAAGTGGCTGAAGGTAAGCAGCGGTGCTTGGGAGCCCGCTTGCTGACCAATACGCTGTCGTCTTATTGTCCGAAGTGGTGTGGATCCAACTGCTACAGGCTGCTCCAGGCTTGCTGATCCACGGCTGGGCTTCCGCGGCTCGTTTTCAACTGCGCTTTCTCCCACGATAGTTGTTGAGCCTGCTGCGGATTGCTGTGCCACGTTGAGCACGTTTGTTTGGGACTGTGTGATTACGGCTTCAGTTCGGGAAGCAAAGGTGTGCGCGGAGTTGTTGGTGGTTGAACGGTGGGGAAGGGCTGCGGCTGCAGCTTGGAAGAAACACGTTATTCGTTAAAATAGGACATTATACTGTGTCCTTTTTCTAACGAATTATGTTTTGGCTGCAGCCTAAGCAACGTAGGCTTGCCCATCAAGGGGTTAACCACATGCAGAAGCGTGCTGAGATCCATATTTGTGAAACGTCATAAATGAAATCCCAAATGTGGAAGTGTGTTGGGATCCTTACTTGTTGAACTTCAAAAATATGTTGGTGATCCTGTTGGGAAGTGTGTTGGGATCCATACTAGTCAAACTTCATAAACGAACAACGATTGGCACGCCAAAGGGAACCCTGTGCGGAAGTGTGCCGTGATCCTTACTTGTCAAACTTCAATTTCATAAATGTGATGAAAGATACAGTAACTATATTGTGACACTGTCCTCTTTCTTACGAATTCATTTTTGACTGCAGTGTTTGTACATGGGCATGCCCGCCCAGTCACCCCAAATGCAAAAGTTTGTTGACATCCATAGTTGTTGAACTTTTGTAAACAAAATTAGCAATGTAATGAGAATGAATTGGAGAGTATAATTCTTTCGGTTATCCCAAAGGCACACATGCAGGTTCATCGTCTTGCTGAAGACGGTTGTTTAGATGTATGATGAGATCCGGACTGGTTTTTAGAAGACTTGTGACCTTGGGAGATTGGAACAGGAGTGTGCCGAGATCCATACTTGTTAAACTCAAAGCTTACGTATGTGATGAGCAAGGTGTCATGATTGAACTGTTGTTGGTTAACACATCAAATTTTCATTTACCTCGTTATCCTCGAATCTCTTCAACATCCAAACAATCGTCTCAGGTGAGACGACGGGTGTGCTTGCATAAGTCCGAATCTCTTTAACATCAAAACAATCGTCTCGGGTGAGACGATGGGTGTGTTTGCATAAATTCCGCATACAGGCACGCTCATCATCTCGCCTGACATGAGGGCACTGAGATCCATACTTGTTTACAGTTGTGATGGGCAAGGTGTATTTTAATTACCACTTAATTTCGATATTCTATGTACTAGTACATAACTTTAAATTGTGCTCCATCACGATGAATATCCGCATTTTAAATGTTCATGCAAAGAAGGTTTGGGCATCCACTGACCAATTTCACATAAGATGAGATTTCTCATTCATCCACCAACCAGTTTCTCAATCATGTTTACACTTCCAGTTCAACAGAATTCGAAACATGGAACACAATACTTCAACTTGAACAGAATTCGGAACACGGAACATTACGTAACATAAATTACAAAGCCCATACATGACGCGGGACATGCATTGATCTTGCCATAGATAACGCGAACTCAGAATGATAAAAGAAAGCAATGCCTCAGGCAGAAGGACAGTTGAATAATGTCTCGATTTACGAAATTTAATGATCAACGAATGGAACACCTTAAAAAAAAGTTTCGAAGTCAATCAAATCCATCAAAAACAATGATGTTCTAAGATACATGATGCTAATTGTCGTCTAAGAAGCAAAATATCTTTACAAGAGAACCGGAAAGGCGGTCGATCTCCACGTTGCAACAACGTCGCATACATCAACATGAACACACCACAACTTGCTCCATCCACTTGTCTCGGAACTCCATCCACCACAACATTTCCCACTATGGACTTCCAAGTCCTACCCGAAGGCCTATGTGATGTCTGACGTTCAAAATACTGCACAATCAACCCGAAAACACTAAGGTAAAAACTAGAATCAGCTACAATGCGAGGAAAATAATCAAAAATTTCGAGAACATTACCTCTTATGTTGACGGAAACGAGGATCCAGTGATCATCATCTTTATGGACAGGAACGAAGATAATATCGTAACGAAGCAAATCGAAGTTTTTAGCCCACCTCTGTACCCCACTGTATCCTTGAAGTCGCAGTTTACTGAAGAAGAACGAATTAAAGTTGAAGACTTGAAGGCCTGAAGAGATGTCACGTGACCCACATGCGGTCGACTCCAACAACGCCATATAGAAATTGACCACCTCATCATTCACCCTGCCGTTGACATGCAAGAAGTTGAGGAGATCTTTTGCTGCAATCCGAAATTGACCATCGCCCAGTATAGAGAGAAGAGTGTTAGACGGCACCAAACCTTGTACAATGTCGTCCAAAACCCGCAAGCTCAGACTCTATGGCGCAATCGTTGCCGCGAAACTTTTCCCGCGTGCTGCACTTGTTGCCCGCACTGCACAACATCGAGCAAAGGACACGTGGGGTAGTGAGAAACGGAGCTCTGGGCATTGTCCGCTGGTGCATGACGCGTTGCTAAGTACTTCTCATACATGGCCTGACCTCTACTCACAGATCGTGGATATGTCCCTTTCTCTGGGGCAAGAAGGGAAAGACATTCCTCAATGGCAACGGTGTACTCCTTCTTTCCGATCTCGACATCAACCCCTGATGCCTTTAACATATCTTTGTGTTTTGTACTCAACCCGGGGACTTTCTGCAATATGTGCTCTGGATATTTGGAGGACCTCCGTGTTCGAGACGACACCACCCCTGTACAACAGAAGAAAGACGAAACGGAAAATGAGAACCATACATTCGTACAGACGCAACAGTCAAGCAGGACCTCTCCGACCACAAGACCCTGATCTCGCGTGGTCATTAACACCCAGGTGCGGTTGTGCGACTGGAAAACAAAACGACTGCAACATCCGAGCTTATCACCCCCGCACTTCGCAAAGGAAAACCACCACAACTCACAGAAGCCGGAGGCCAGCAATCCCCGAAGTTCGGACTGCGGTGGACTTTTCAATACACCAGCCCCACTGAGACTGACCACATCACGCATCAACAAAGGAAGTTCGGATCCCAGCGGACTAAAACCAGCACTATTCCCGAGAAGGGAAAACTGTCAGTCCATCTACTTGGCCACTTTCTTAGCACCTTGGCCTACAGTCAAGCAGGACCTCTCCGACCACATGACCCTGATCTCTCGTGGTCATGTGCACCCCGGTGCGGTTGTGCGACTGRAAAACAAAACGACTGCAACATTCGAGCTTATYACCSCCGCACTTCGCAAAGGAAAACCACCACAACTCACAAAAGCCGAAGGCCAGCAATCCCCGAAGTTCGGACTGCGGCGGACTTTTCAACACACCATCCCCACTGAGACTGACCACGTCACGCATCGACACAGGAAGTTCGGATCCCGACGGACTAAAACCAGCACTATTCCCGAGAAGGGAAAACTGTCAGTCCATCTACTTGGCCACTTTCTTAGCACCTTGGCCACTTCCTCAGCCGGGGCAGATCCTTTGTTGGATGGAGTGTAAGGTCTTGGACGAAGTTTTCGCCGCCCTCGACTAGCAACCCGGCCGAGTCACATATAGGCCGACGAGCTGGAGTACGAAGGGCTGCTGGCTGTAGCATGGCGGCAGCCGGAACTTCCCGTATGTACAGACAGTGTGGACAGTCGTCGTGTGTATAGCGCGGACTGTAATCCGGCGACATCCGGATGCGCAGGCGTTCTTCACGGCTTACCAATTTGTTTCTCTCTCCGCTCCTTCGATGGTGAATTTAGCGCAGGCAAAGCGAGCACGTCGAGAGCTTGACCTGCCGAACCTCAATTTTTTTTGGGACGTCACATGTTGTCCTCCACCGAACTCGCCTTCCCCTTCGGCAGCAAGGGTGGCCGGCAGCACCAGAGACTTCGGCGGCGACGAAGCGAGGGCAGCTGCCATGGAAGATGCGACGTTGGCAGTTGCGGACGGACGGGCAGACACGTTGTGGTCGCCTAGGATACCGTCGATAACTTCGTCGATGCTTATACGTCGACTTTTTTCAGACGGGCTGATAGCGACGGAAGCCCCGTCGAACCGGTGTTGCAAGTCGACAACAAACGTCAGTGGCCGGACCGCATAATCTTCAAGCTCTGCGGAAAGGCTGCTGACCACTTGTGTCTTCATCTCTATTGTCGTGGCATCGTCGTCGACATCATCCTCGTGATGCTCTCCGTACAGTTGTCCGAACTCGTCAGACGACTCTCCAGATCCGGCATTGTCCTCACTGTGTTCCACTTCGTCTTCTCCAGACCCGACACCCTCCCTTCCTTCAAACAAATCAATTAGCTCTATTTATCCCGCTTCCTCCCCTTCCACCTCTTCTTCCCCTTCTTCCTCCCCTTCTTGCGCTCCCTTCTGTTCCTCCATTTTCTCCCCTTCTTCCCTCCCACGAAACTCGTCCCCTTTCGCGGTACCCGTGCTGAATCTCGAGGACCGCCCTTCCGTCCCCGTGCACGCTGCCCCTCTCATCCGTGGCCGACAAACCCCGCCCGAAGAAGTTCGGATCTCGGCGGACTTCGTGGTCTCCGTGTCGCAGGACCTTGCACTTGCAGCCTCCCACTGCAATCCTTGCGGCCGTCGCTCCCGCTCAGGAGACACCTTTCCGACGTCTCCGTCCCCCGCCGCAATGCTGTGAATTTCTCGATCCTTGCTTGGATTCCCCGACCCCGAGCAGCTTCACATTCCGGACCGCTCTGGCAACTCCTCACCCGACGTAGTTCGGATCCCAGTGGACTTCGGCTTTCCGGCCGAGCGACTGCCCAGAGCAACCAAGCCTGCCAACGTGTCCCTCGCAGAGCCCACGGACGAAGTCGGGGGTTCGGCGGAGTGTGTCATATGCTCGGGCCGGGTGCCTGTCAACGGAGTCCGGTCGACGGCGAAGCCCGCCACCTCGGCGCTGCCTGGTGTCGTGTTGCGGCCGTGAGACCCTCTCTCCCCCATAGGCGGGATTCCTTTGCCACCCCCTGCGTCGCCACCCCCATCCCCTCCGCTTCCAGGTGACCCCCCCCAGAACCACCGTCCGACCCACTGGGAGGGGGCACTTTCCAGTCCACCACGCCCTTCGACGGACTCGTGTCAAGCTCGTAGTAGTCCTCCGTCAATTTCAACCAGCACTTGTCCTGAAGCTCGTCGAACAGTCGACCGGCAGTGGAAATGAGGGACAGGTCGACGTGTGCAAAAGTGTCATTTTCGACCTTCACTTTCTGGAGGACCGAAATCCTCGCGAGGTGAAGGAAGTTGGACTTCGACTCGCGTGGGAATGACACCCATCCCGCGCCCGGGATTGCCACGGCCATGACCCACTCGCCATTTCGTATTACTGGCTGGATGACTCCCGGATGCCAAACCATGTCATGGCCCCAGTCCAGCTCAGGTGAATGACGTTGCGGTTCAAGCAGGAAGTGGATGTTGTCATCCTTCCAAGACGGATGATCGGGCGGGACGACGGACCCGGGACGCAAAGCGGGCGAGGGGGCGGCCAGAGCTCTAAGTCTCTCCAGCAACTTCATCGGCATGGTGCCCGGCGCCGGTTTGGCCAATGGTGACACGAGGGCTGCAGCGCTTGGTGATAGACCGGCCGACGAGGACCCTCGGCCGTGGTCCGCCGGAGGCGGGTCGTACTGCAGGTTGATGCTCTCCGTGTCGCTCTCCTCCTCCTTCGCGTTGGCGACAGACTCCACACCTATGGCTTCCTCGTCGTCAGTGGAGATCAGGGAAGCGTAACTGGCTAACTTCAACTGCTCCTCTGACTCCACGAAGTCAAGCGACTGCAGCCTTTCGATAAAGGTCTTCGCATTCATGCCGGAGGCGAAGTGGTAGTTGTCGAGCAGTGTCAACACGTGGTCCTTCCGGCAGATGTACTCGGCGTCAGTGTCCCTCCTCGGACGCGTTTGAAGGAACAAGAAATCGTATATCTTGTTCCTCTTCCTCTCGCTCAACTTGAACTACATATCCGTCTTGTTGCTCCACACCTTATCCCGTGTTGGCCTCACGACCATGAACTCATAATTGTGCCCACCCGAATTGACCTCACTTTTCACCACCTGCATCGTGAATTGCAAGAGGTCGGAGTTCCCTTCCATTGCGACAACGTGCCGACCGGCCTTTCGAAGCTCCCAGACGCTTCGCGCGTGCGGTTTCCCAAGAAACACGACACCCTCTCCCTTCTTGCCAAGAAAATCAAAAAGACCGACGAATTGTGTCGAATTGCATTCCATATCCCCGTAGACGCTGCCCTGTCGTTCAGGTGCCACCAGCGACCAGTCGCAAGGCGTGAAAGGAATCTCGGACACATCCGTCTGGGTGACCCTCTGAGGCAATCGCACCGCAGCAGCGGCACCCCTGGGCAGGTTTCCCTCGTAGACCACGGACGTGTTGACGCGCAGATCGTCACCCTTGAAGAGGATGTACATGCGGTCTTCCTCCGTGTACAAATTGTTCCCAATGGGGAAGCTTTTTTTTTGCTGCACTCTCYGCACCCACTTCCCTTCMAACAGCTTGACGAAAGAAAGATGGTGCATGCTGGCGAGAAACGACAGGTTGTGCTGCCGCGGCACGAAAACAACGAGAGTCCAATGCAAGGGACACCACGTATGAAAATAGGAATTCAAAGTCTCCCACGCTTGGGGCTTCCACAGTTTGAGGTCAACCGGCTCGCACAGATCGAGGACGAACGTGTGGCTCTTTGTGGCAGTCACTGCCTCCTTCAGCTCTGCGCCCCTGATGTCCGCCTCTAAAGGGTCGTTGGCGAACGGCGCGATGGATGTCACGTCCCCGTGTCTTTCCATTTAATATGAACGACGTCTTCGGCAAGTGCGACTTCTCAGTTCTTCAGTCTACTTCCATTCAACACGGAGAGAACCTTGTTTCTTCAGTCGACGGACAATTTCTTGTGGCCCGCCAACTTCTCCGTCACCTCAATCGAGTTGTCCTGGTCGCAACCCATGTACGGCGGGCAGTCCTTGAACAGCGCCGAGTGGGAAACGTGTTTCCTGCTGTTATCCCATAACTCGTCATCCAATCCATGACCTTCAAACTTCTTGAACACGGCAGACCTCGATATCAGGAAAGGGTACCTTTGGATCTAGTCCTCGTCCGACCTCTTCTCGTGCTTGAATTGGTAGTAATTCCACAACCGGACCAGCACGCGGTTGCACTTCACCAGCTGCACCATGTCCTTTACGCTGAGCTTTCCCAACTTCGCCAACGACGGGGAGCCGGCCTGGACCCAAACGACCTCGCAAGCAAGCACCTTTTTCAGAACGCGGCACTTCTCATTGTCCGTGAGTGATTCCATTGTTTTCCAACAATGCGCGTCCGGGCCTGGCACTTGCACGAACCAATCGCCCTCCTCTTTCTCCTTTTTGCCCTTTTTATTCGGCGGGTCCACGGGGACGTTGTACACCAGCTCCGTTCTGCCCAATTTGTCGTTGTGGATGTAGGCGACCCCAGGCTTTACGTTTTTGACCTTCTTCTTTTTGACGATCCACTTCGCCCTGTCGTGGCTCAGCAATCTGCCCGTCTCCCATTTTTCGAAAAATTCCACGGCCAGTTTCCATACATTTTCCCCGGCCTTCGCCAGAGGTAAGTAAGAACGTAGGGCAGCATTTTGCTCTTAATGACCTCCTCTTCCTTTTGATCCGCGAGAAGCCACAAGCTGTTTTGAGGCGCCTTATGGAGCGCCATTGTACAAAACTTACGCCAATCCCGGACCTGATCTTGTTTCCCGCTAGGGTTCCCCATCACAACTCTTGGGCAGCCGTCATGCTTCCACTGCCATCGAATGTCTTTCATAGAAAGTTTCAATTGTCTGGGAGGTGCCTTGAGGTCCTTCTTATTGTCCTGTGAACTAACAAGAAAATACCCTTCGAAGTCATCGTCGGAAAAGTACACCATCCGTGCCGGCGACCGCTCGAAATTGTACTTCTTGGCCACCTCGCTGCCGAGCAGTGACCTGGCTGCAGCCGCGTTGTGTTGCCCGCACACCGCGTAGTAGTAGTATTCTCCCGCCAGCTCATCCTTCCACTCCTCCGGCTTCAGACGTTGTGCCTTGGTCCCAGGAGTTGGTTTTTGAAGCCCCAGTGGTGCGAGCTTGAGAACCGGCAACTCGTACGTCTGTTCTTTATTTTCGAACGCAGACCGCATTGCTTCCCTTATCGTTTCCATGAGGACGGGATCTAGCGACCGCTGGTTGTAAAGATCCTCCCACTCCCTTATGTCGAAGATCTGAGCCAGGCTGATCTCAAACTCCCGCCTTGTCCTGACGCCGTCTTTGTACTCCAGGAAGTACCCGGCGTCCACGTCGATGGCAGGCCGTGGTGTAGAAGGTCCCGACTCAGGCTGTTTATGTTTCGAAGTTGGACGTTTGCTACCCGAGTGGCCCTCTTCCACCCCCCTCCCCTTCCGTTTCTCTCCCGCAGTCCTTGGGGTCTTGGTCTTCTGTTTCTTCGAAGAGCCCACCAACTCTTCTTGACATTCTCCCCTCTTTTTTTGGGGAGTGCCTTGCGCTCCCTTCCCGCCCACGGCCTCGCCTTCCGCGCCATGACCCTTGGCGAGCTCCAAGTCAGACCCACACAGGACTCCCTCTTCTCCGGGATCCGCTGCGGTCTGTTGCCGGACCCCAGGTATGGACAGCACGGACCTGTCTCTTTCCCTCGACGGCGAAAACGGCGGACGCGGTGTCGCCTCATCTTCGCTGTCGTCAAACTGACCTCAGGCATCCTCCCGCTGCACATGTGTAGCCTCCCCGAAACCCAGATCCCCCCTCTCCCCCGCTGCCCTACTCGACTCACAACCGCCGCACTGCTGCAAAGGCATTGACAGTTCCAAGTCGGGGTCGACTTCGCAAGGGACGTCGAGGGCGATGTCCTTGTCCTCCAACAAGTCAAAGAACTCTCGACCCAAAACAAACCCGCCCTGTCGCCGAAGGTCGTTGTAGAACGGGGTGTTCGCAGCACCCGCTCCGAACCCCTCGAACAGACACATGTCTAGAATCGCCCCCTTGGCACCAGCGACGACGTACCCCTTCGCACCGTAGACATTTTTCATGTAGAACCGTCGACGACTGCCTTTCGCATTCTCCCACCGCAAGACGACCCTCAGCACCCTACGCCACTTGTTGGCTTCGACGAAGATCACAGGACCACACGGCTGTTGCACTGGGTTTGATGCATCCCCACAGCACCAGTCGACGAACCATTTTGACCTAGCGTGGTCGGACCACGTCCTCGAGGTCGTAGACGACCGTTTTGTAGAATCTTTCCCAGATCCCATCCCGGAGGTCGCTGCAGGCTCCCCTTCGCCCCTGGACGAAGACATATTGTCTGCGGACGACAACGGAAAACAAATAAAACACAGTGAGCGTCAAATCGCAGTCAAAGTACAACGCAGGCGAAAAACATAGGAGGCACACCTTGCCCTCAACACATCGGTCACATGACGCCATCCGAGGACCTCGAAGTTCGGATCCCGGCGAACTTCGAACACGAAGACCAGCAATGACCTCTTACCTGCAACGAGATCATTCTTTACAAGGGCACACGCTTCATGCAGCCGGGCGACAACCACGTCGGAGTTTTCGAAACACAAATGTCGACCGGATCGGGAATGGACGGGAGGTGACACACAAAACTCGCGTTGGATGGGGCATTGTCCTCCGTCTAGCACTCGGATCCCGGACAGTTCAGGACGCGAAGTTCGTCGAGATCCGTACTAAAAGATGGGGCGCAAGAGAGAGAGAGAGAGCCAGCCCACGCAGCCAGCGTTCCAGAACCGTGCACGAGCGAACACACTACGGAACAGCATTTGATCGAAACCTGAAGTCGGAGACGGGTTCTCCACCCCGCCGGGCGGGTTGTGCGAACTCCAGGACGTGCCTGTCCAAAGACAAACCAACGCACCCTCCGAAACGTGAAGTTCGCCGGGATCCGAACTTTAGGATGATGCGACAGGCAGAGACGGTGTCAGAGACACACGGTCCGTGGACTAAACCACGACCCGGAAAGGCCGTACTAACACAAAAGGCCGGTTGAGAAGGACAAGTTCGCCCAAATCCGAACTTCTTCTAATATGCGCAGCTTGGCATTGGATGAAGCCTAGTTCGAACGCAGCAGCCGCGACAACATTGCATGAGTCCCTGGAGGGGCAGTTGTGGATCAGGGTTGACTCGTGTCGCAATCCACGGGGGATCATCAAGACCAGTGCCCGTTCAATACACAGGCGTCACAGGAAGTTCGCCGCGATCCGAACCTCAGGAGGCTGAGAGAGAGACAGACAGAAAGTTGGGGTCCTAGCAAGGTGTCAACGGGATTTCCAACAAGAGGGCCCGCCAACCGGGATCTCCAACGGGTTTCAGGAAACGCGAAGCTCGCGCGACCTTGGGACATGGATCTCTAAGAGTGCTTTTGGCATCTCGCAACGACAGTGACCGACTGTTTGGCACATGTTGATGGTGGACGGTCGAAAACCGATTATGGCTATGTTCTGTTTCCGCGCTGTCGGGTCTTTCCCGCGGCCCGCCCGACGCCAATGACAACAAAGACAAATTAACGCAGAGGCCAGAACGCGAAGTTCGCCAAGATCCGAACTTCGTCGGGGCACGACATGGAAGGAGACGGCGTAAGAGACGGACGTCCAACATGACTTTCATCAGTCACTGAACCGAACGACGACCAGGGATTTATACGACAAGCGCGCGGTGGAGCGTGTACCAGCAACCGCAAAGTCTCACACTTCTCTGCAATCCGACAAATCTGACATTTTAGCCAGAATAACCGCATCTTGTCCCTCGCCGTTCTTTTCCCTCACACAGAAGGACTAAAGACTGGTTCGGATGCGGCGACATTTGGGGATCCCCCGGGACGACGTCGTGAACCGAAGCCATACAAAGCATTTAGTGACGATCCGTATACGCGGGTCTGCGGTTCGTCGACCGATGCACTCGGCGAAAAAACGGACATGTATTTCATCCTAACAAACACCCCCGGTCGTGCCAAGGAGTTTCCTATGCAGTCCCGTAGGTCAGCCACTTTCTCCTCAACCTCATGCCACAACGAGTAGTTTCGAACCTGACCTGCTATCACCAAATCTGGCCACCCATCCGCACGTTCAGGCCCACRCATCAGCACGAATTTGGACCCTTCAATCACGACCTCGTTGCGTGACACGAGCACATTTGCATCGACGAGTCCTGCTCTTGTTCGAAGCAGCGAYACACRGAACTCTGGCGAAATCAGATCCGGACACAGTCAACCGCACACAGCAGTACGACACAGCTCGTGGACAAATCCCGGGGCCACGGAGCGGGTACTGGTCCAGGAACGAGCAGCGASGAGCGCARTCCACCAACTCTTGTTTTCGCGAGCGCCCCCAAGTTCGTGGCGACGACCTGACGTTGTGGCACTCGAGGCGACTGAAATAGCGGCTAATGCAGCTTAGTGCTTTGCGCATATGGTTCAGGAACTTATGTCCGAGGACGTCGTCAGGCAGTGGGATGAGGTCCCCGAACTCCAACATATTCGCGAACTTGTAATGGCTTGCCCAAGGGCAGTGACTCTCCATATTGTCCCAATTGCCCTCGCCCCAGTCGTCCAGATGCGCGTCCATGCACGGGACGACGGTCATCCATGGGTCCTCGTCAAAGTCCTCTGCGGTCGCTCCGTGGATCGTTGTCACACCGTTGAAATGCTGCACGGATTTCGCACAAGGACGAAAAGGTTCTGCTAAGCGAATGTGCGTCTCGGCACTCATGGCCTGTGGTGTCGAGAAGATCGACTCGAAGACCCGTGGTGTCGAGAAGGTCCCCTCCATCACGCAACCTGCACACCACGCGCACATGCCCGACGACACACACGGGCACGGATACACTCGTGAATGCGTCATGTCTCGCGATGTGCGACCCATGGCATTAGACGGAGCGTATGCCCCAAGATCCGATTTCGGGTGGCCGGTTTCGTCGGTGTTCACATCTACCGGCCCGCAGGCCAGCCGCAAATACGCCCCACGACATGTTCGCCTGCATCCGAACTTGGCGAGACTGCGCGGGAAAGACGARGCTGTCTCCCAAACTCGACGTCCCAAACTGCCACGAAGTTCGRACCTGACTTCACTTTCGTACGAATAAAAAGTTGTGGCAATCCACCGATCGCCARAAAGTCCACAGTCAGAACCCGCACCACCYGAAAGGTGAAGTACGCCGGGGTCCGAACTTGACGGTTTTTCGACGAACCGTGCACGAGAAGTTCGGATCTCAGCGGACTTCGCATTTTATAGAATCCGAAGTCTGCCGGGATCTGAAATTGAYGATTGTCTGAGGAACCGTGCAYGGCAGGTTCRGATCCACGGCCCAGCAGGAACATCTCCTGCCACATGCATTGCGAAAGGAAGAGARCTCAAATTCGYCGGGATCCGAACTTGGYGAAATTGCGCGGGAGATGCACAGCAGGCGAACCCGACGATGGGACGAGGAACCTTGGCACGAGAAGYACGGATCCCGGYGGACTTCGCATTTTTGCGAAACAAAAGTTGTGGTAAACACCCATTCGCGAGAAAGGACACAGTCAGAACCCACACCATGCGCGACGCGAAGTTCGCCGGGGTCCGAACWTGCCACGCGAGGTCYGGATTCACGGGAGGGTTTGGGCGTGGGTTTGGCGTGGGTTTAGTGCGGGAAACCGGGCACGCGAGGTCCGGATCCACGRGAGGGCAGAGGGGAACCTGGTGTTCGCCGGGATCCGAACTTGGCGAGACCTCGTGGGAGAGAAACAACCGGCGGACTTCACATTTTTTCAAATACAAAGTTGTGCCAACCCCCGGGCGCTAGAAAACCCGCGTTCTGAACCCGCACAATGAGACAAGCGAGGTCGCCGTTGTGCGAACTTGACGTCTGTGCGAGGAACCGTGCAGGAGAAGTCCGGATCCCGGTGGACTTCGCATTATCACGGATCCGAGGTTCGCCGAGGTCCGGACTCGACGAGTGTGCAAGAGACAGTGCGAGCGAGGTTTGGATCCGCAGGCCAGAAGGAACCTGAAGTTGGCCGGGATCCGAACTTAGCGAAATTACGTGGGAGATACACGCCTGTCTGCCAAACTCGCCGTCCTGCAATTTCTTGAAGTTCGGATTCCGGCGGACTTCAAATTTTTCCACGTCCCAGGCTGTGGTTGCGGACCGGGGTTGCGAAAGGTGTTCGAGCAGCTGCATGAAGTTCGCCGGGATCCGGACTTGGCGAAATTGCGTGGGAGACATACACCTGTCTGCCAAACTTGCCATCCAACAATTTCTTGAAGTTCGGATCCCGGCGGACTTCAAATTTTTACACGTCCCAGGCTGTGGTTGCGGACCGGGGTTGCGAAGTGTGTTCGAACAACTGCATGAAGTTCGCCGGAATCCGAACTTGGCGAAATTGCGTGGGAGATACACACCTGTCTGCCAAACTCGCCGTCCAGCAATTTCTTGAAGTTCGGATCCCGGCGGACTTCATATTTTTCCACTTCCCTGGCTGTGGTTGCGTACCGGGGTTGAGAAGCATGTTCGAACAGCTGCACAAGCTCGCCGGGATCCCAACTTCTTCCGGTGTTTGATTGCGCGATCAGTTCGGTTGGTATGGCCCAGGTTGTGCTGGCAGATTGGAACGGCCACGTTTCGATCACGAGAACAGTGTCGCCGACACGTGGGGTGGTGGGTGCTCAACGTTCGCCTTTCAGTGACCGTCAAGTGTCGACGACCCTACGTCCTCCAAAGTTCGACGTCCGATGAGGCTCGACGCCCGCCGAGGTTTGATATGGAACCAGGTTCCATGGCCAGTATGGTTCGATGTTATACCAGGTTCGATGTGCAACAAGATTGTGACGAAGTGCTTTTTATTCGTTCGCAGATCGGGATCGATGTTTTTCCGATCGATTGTGTGTTTCGTTTGCCGGTTTCGATCGTGCACATGATCATTTGCCTTGAGGATTCTCCGCGATCGTTCTCCACGATCAATGTGCACAGAACAGTCGATTGGTTATTAAATTTGCCAGGATCAACTGATTGATCGGCTGTTCGGTTGGCGGTCGGTGTGGTGGTCGATCAACCAGTAGAGCAATCGCCAACAGAGTGGTCGACCAATTTGTTGATCCTGGCAGATTTCTTGACCGATCGACTGTTCGGTCGAGGACAATCAGGTGGATAAATAAACAGGTCGCTCGCCGGCGGGTTGATCTTCGGTGCAGCACACACGATCAATCATCCGATCGCAAGTAATCTTCTGTCGTTCCACGATTGGTCGGTTGGATGCGTTGTCGCCTCGTGCATTGGTTAATCATCCGTCGGGCAGATCAACGACGATGTTGTTGGGGAAGCAAACAGCATATATCACCCGATTGCGAGTGGTCCGCTTGTGTTTCGTGATGGGTCGGTTCATCACGTGTATGGTGTACATATTGTCATGGATCTGATCGACCATCCGATCGCGAGTGATCTGAACACACACGACAGAAAGAACAACACACACGCGGTGGTAACGTCGACGCGGCAGACACGATCAATCATCCGATCGCGAGTGATCTCATCGTGTTTCRCGATTGGTCGATGGATGCGTTCGCTGTGTCGACATTGCCACCACGTGTTTCGATTGATCATCCATTGGGCAGATCGGCGGACATGACATTGGGACAGCACACAAAATCAATCGGGTATGGCAAGTGCTCACGATGAGGTTGTGTTTCGTTATTGGTCGCCATGTGTTCGATCCGAGCTTCCGTGCTTCGCCACTTGAGTACAGCACGAGCGCAATCGTTTTTTGATACTTTCCTCACACATCCACACACATGGGCCGTTCGTTCCCGATTGCAGCAGAAGCGGAATCGAAGTGCAAACCATGTCGCTCATCCCTGACCGCGCACGTTCGCGCGCATCTTCCCGAGAAAAATGTGTGCAAGCACACACGCACGAGAACAAATACGCACAGACAGGCAAGCACACACACACACACACACACACACACACACACACACACACACACACACACACACGCCGACACACGGCGCCCACACACACACGCCCCT